AAGGACACAAAGGACACAGGGTACAGATTATAAAGAAAATGCCAGTTTGAACAGGTGGGTTTTGAGTTGGGTACAATGAGCAGTGTTTCATTTCACTGTACAGCATTTCATGTTACATTCCATTTGTAGCTTATTCTATGTGTATATAGTATATAGTCATCTTCTCCTGCATTATTAACAATTGCCATTTCTACACTGAAGCTACTGTACATGACAATAAAGCCTTTGAACGTCCAAGAAAGGCCTCAGATGTGTTTGTTTGCATCAACTTTACAAGTCTGACATCACTGCAACTTCTACTAGAGACGCAATGCAGGCGTATTTAGAAGCTGACAGGAGAGAAAACACTGCAGCTCACATGCCATGCCCATGCCAAGGGCCATGCAACAAAGACACTCCTGCGTCGCTAGGCAGTCCAGCTTCATGGGAGCAAAGTACGGGACGAATGTGGGTAATAAATCAACACGGCATTTCACCCATAAACACACCATAATGCTATGTTTTTAAAGTTAACTTTGGGGAGCAGCAGATCCATGTCTGGGTCGCTGGCTTGGAGAAGCATCCCATGAAAGATGGCGACCTCCCACGGATTCCCCAACCCCAGAAACAAGCACGCTCATTTAAGATTACAGGGTATATGCAGGAACCCTGAAGTTGTAAAACCCCCTGGATTAAGACCAACTCTTAGATTAAGGGGAAATGTAGTTTCTCACTGGTGTTAGTATACAAACACACACATGCTTTCTCCTGTTGTACAACCCAGAACTATCTGCACATCCGCTGCTCTGCACAAGTGTAATGCATATACTATCCAACGCAGATATGTGTCTGTAGTTTATTTCTATATATTCTGTAGCCTAGAGATATTGTAGAGTATTACAACGTATTCAGTCATTTGTTTATACTAAGTATTATCTTGATACTCTCGTGCTATATCTCTTCTCTGCTGTGAATTTGCTCTTAATGTTTTATTTTACTCGGGCCGTATTGTATCTTTTGAATATGTTTAACTCGTGAACTGCTTGAAAACACCGCTGCGATCAATTAATAGCACAATTTGGGATCGATAAAGTATCTTGTGAGGCGTGTGGCGCAGTGGGTTGTGTGTAGGTGTTCGGATCACAGGTTCAAACCCCTCTGCAGTCAGCATGTCGTTGTGTCCCTAAGACACTTCACCCCAAATTGCTCCTGTGGGGATTGCCCACAGTGTTGAGTGTGGAAGTCGCTTTGGATAAAAGCGTGTAACATGTAACGTAATGTATCTAACAGTGCACAGACAGAACGAAGGCAGTGTTTCAACAGGGCCTCACAGTTTGTTTGTGCCATTATTTACAACTATGACACGACGATAAGTCTTAAAAACTGTTTCTTTAACCAAAATCCCGTGGCCCTATGCTTAAACCCTGGCAAATATAGTTTCATGTGGTAATAATGTAATAAAATGACGTAACAAACGTAAATGTTATCAGTAAAGTACAGCTATTGAGAAAAAACGACATATGGGTTACATTTCCACACATGTTTTCAGTACAAAGCTTATATGTACACATCCTGTAGCTCTCTTCACGACACAGACAGGTTCTTTAAAACGGGCGTTTATTTCTTGGGAGTTCATCCTGTAGCCTTCCCTCTTCCGTTACGCCGTGAGAACTACAACACCGAAATGACACGTATACATAGCCAAACATATTAGCATATTGTGCTACACATATGAATGAAACTAATACCTCGTTGGCCGCTTGTCGTGAAAGGAGATTAATTTAGTTCCTTTTCTGCATAACTTTGTCACAGACTTCAGCAGAGCTTCAAAAAAGACGTCAACCCACGTTGAGTTGTCCAGTGTAACAGCAAAACACGCAGTACCAGCACATGAACAAACATTAGTTCCTAGGCACAAGAAACACACGCATATCGGTTTAACATGTAAAACAAACTGTATTAAATCATACCATATTTAACGATTATAAAATAACATGAAATAAAGTATTTATTTATCTAATTGAACTATGACATTAATTGTGTTATTCTTTTTAATTAAGGCAACTTCGTTACATCATTTACACATCCCATTACTAGAATAGGAGTTGCTTTTTATGATTGTGGCTCAGGTTTAAATGATAGAGACTTAATTGAAAGGTAATCCAATGGAATAAACTAGGGTTATTACGGGTTCATTTATTTTATAGGTTTTTCTATTTTATGGTCATACCTTTTACCTCCCGTGTCCCCTAAGCTGTTATATCATGTTATTATGCTAAAAGGTTTTAACGTGTGGCCTGATGTGACATTATTGTTCTCTTTTAAATCTTGATGTTGTTGTTGTTGTTGTTGTTGAAGCACATTCAGCTGCACCTGGTGTATGAAAAGTGCTATTCAAATACAACTTTAAAAGCAGTTTCTTTAACTCACCAGAATGTCTTATATTTGGAATATTATGACAAAAGTCCAGAAAATAGAGTTCTCAGAAACTAAATTATTATCTATTGTATAGTGTTTTATTTTGTATTATCATGCCTTTTACCTCCTGGTTCCCCTAAACCAGGGGTCGGCAACAGGCGGACCGCGGCCCGGACCCAGACGCCGACCTATACGGACCCGGAGCTATAATCAATACATTAATAGGGGATTTTTCGGCACCTCCCGCTTTTTTAACGCTGATTTGGGTGACTTGTGTAATTCGTGGAGAACCGAAGAGTTTTCGTTTTGGGGGGTGGGGGTGCGGAGTCCGTCCGTCAGTCCGACTGACGGACAACTTCTCACTTAAAAAAAGAAGACGAAATCTAGACCGCAAAAATAATTAAACAAGTGAGTACCTGTTTTTCCTGGCCAAGGACAGGTTCCTTGAACACAACACGAGCGTAACGTGTCTTCACGTGGTATATGTCTCGTCTGAAAGGAGTGCTGACAGAGAGCACCGGAACGCCGCTCCAGCCCTTCAGATATTGCAATACCCATAAGGAGCCGTACACATGCCGCAGTGTTTGCGTGGCTGTGTCTTTAGTTGTAAGCACAGTGGCGATCTGTTGTTATTAGCATCTGGTTAGCTAGCTATGCTAACGAACTTAAAGAGCTTTTCTACAACCAGGTGGAAGAGAGCTCTCTCCTGAGAGGCTCAAATAACCTCAGCTCAGTGAGGTTAAGGCACACCTTGATATGATCATTATAGTTATTAATGAGACTAAATGAAAAACAGGTATAAAATACTATATGACAGTAACAAAAAAGTTGTTAAAAATAACAAGAATAGAGTTTAAAAGGGGAGTGATTTGTAAAATATCCAAAAAGAAAAATCTGCTTACAGTTGTGTTTCATATGGGTGTTGAGAGATGTATCCATAGATCTCTTCATGTTGCTCTCAAAGTGCACCAGATTGATGCTTTTAACTTCAACATTTAAAAACAAATCTTCCCGGGGGAGCATGCCCCCGGACCCCCCTAGAGGAGGTTAGGTCCCCCCCACTTAAATCATGTTCACATGGATAGGAAACTAAATACATTTGCACACATCTTGTGTCCATATTTTTCTGTGTTGGTGGTCACGCCACACCGTGCACGTGCGTGCGCGAGTCATGGTGAGATCTCTGGATTGGTTGCTTGTTCTTTGCACAGCATGAAAGAAAGGTGAAATTAATGGGCTGTGATTTTAGTTTTTTTTAAGCAGAGGTTGAGTTCAATAATTTGTACGACCCTCGGAGGACAAGCTCCAGCTCAACTCTCGCACTGAATATAAATAAAAGTGAGTGAGGGGCTGCAATATAAGAGGGAAAGAAAGAGAAACTTTAAAACTGTTCAATGATGTACATCATTGTTATGATGTAAAGACTGATATTGTTCTATAATCGTCTGAAACTGTTAAGTCATGCTGTGAAACCGTTAACAAAGAAAAACTCAAGCTGCTGCTACACTTTATTTTATTTATCTAAAATTAAGCTCTTTTAAGATGCACACATTTTCAAAAGATATTTTATTTATTCCCTCTATTTTATTTTAAATGCAGCCCGAGAGGAACATTACACATATCCACAGTATTGACTCTGTTTAGTTCAATGTTAATTGACAATAAATATTGTTGATTTTGAATTGTACTTTCTTTATTTGATTGGCAGTCAGTTGTTGATTACATGCAGACGTTGATAAAGCTACAACTACTTCCATATATATCACACTCATTCATAGTTAAGTAAGTTAGACATTTTGAAGTTCCGGACCTTTGCATGGGGACATTCTCTAACTGGACCTCGTTGAATACCCCTGCCCTAAACTGTTAAACTGTCATATGGTGATGATATGCTGCATGTGCTAAGAGGTTTTAACCCCTTGTTTTTAGGGTTTAAAACACCTCTCCATCTATCAGAATGTATTGGTGCGATCTGATCGAACAGACTGATCTACTACACTTCTAAGAAACCCAAAAGCATTGTTTTTAACAGTTGGTACCACTAATTACAACTTTGACATGACAGATACGTTGTTGTTTTACATTAAAAGTGATTATTGCACACACATTGTTAATGGAGCACTAACAAAAAGAGGCCAGTCATCAGGTGCCCTTGCAGTGCCACTTGTGATGCCTTAAAAACAAAAGGTTCATTTAAAACTACCTATGTATTTACCTTACGGAAGGGGATGAGGGCCATATGATAACAAAACAAAAATGTGGATGTGACAACGGTGTTTTCAAAAAGTGTAGTTTTTTTTTTTAAGTCCGTTCAGTTCTGAAAACATTTTCTAATTTTCATTGTTGATAATCATATTTTAATCTCAGAATTGGTCAATATCATGTATGCTGTTGTACAGAATCAGAATCCCTTGTAAATTGAATACTTTGACCAAAAATAATTCAACAAAAAATGAGTTCTGAAAAAAAGTCAGAATTCTGAAAACATTTATTTTTCTTTGACGTTTTTTTGTGTGAAAATCTACAAAATTCTGACTTTTTTTTCTCAGACTTCATTAAAGTCATGACCCACATTTTGTTTTTAAACAGTTTATTTGACTCACCTGTCAACTCTGCACGGCAATGCAAACACTGATGGAAGTAGTAGCAGCTGATGGTGGACTGCGGCCTTCAGTTAGCTTCCAGGCTAAATACGCAGGGTATTAAAGCTAGCAGGCTATATCGAGCACGCTAGCTAGGAAGCAACCGGCTTACCAGCTCTAAACCTCCCCACAAATACTCTTCAAATGTCAGGATGATAACTCCACGACTAGGTACAAGTGCACTGACAAAAAAAAGATGCCCCCCCCCTTAAAAAACTGTCTGCAAAAACGTTCTCCGACCACCGCTAGTTAGCTTTGAGGCTAGCTAAGAGTTAGCTAGGAGGCTAACTAGCTTTCCTTATCAACTTTTGTGCGGATAATAAATGTGAAGCCGGGGATTAAATTCCACACGATTTAAACAGCAGGACGTTTTGGGTAATAGGGGAAGTCAAAAGAAACTGTGAAGAAATATCCCGAAAGCGAGGAATAAAGCGATGCTCGTCTCAAAGCTTCCGATCGATCAGACAGTCCGTAGAGAGAGGGGGGGGGGCGGAATAATGGAGCCGTTTCCTTTCCCTTTCGTGTGCAGAACAAAGATCGTCTCTGCTGTTGTTATAGTTTGAGTTCTCAAAAAGAGGCCAGTCATCAGGTCCATCTTCCAGGCCACTTATGATGCATTAATAACAAAAGTTGGGTTTAAATCTAGCTATGTATTCACGGATTAGTGTTAGGGCCACATGAGATTTTGTTTTGCATTTGACGAAAAGGAAAAATTGGAGTTCTGGAAAAAACTGAATTCTGAAAAAAAAAATCTCTTAGAAGTCAGAACTTTTCATGTTAATCTTCTTCTGTAAATAAATAGCTAGTTTTAAATTAACCTTGTGTTTTAAGGTATCATAAGGGACTCATGTGACCCTAGTCCTCTTCTGCATTTATTGACCAAGAAAACATCTGAATTCTGAAACAAATTAATTCTTTTTCTCCAAGAATTCATTCTGACATTAAAGTCTGAATTGTGTTATTTTTTACTTTTGGTCATGTGGCCCTAGTCCTCTTCGGTATTTATTGATCAATTAGCAACTTTTAATATTGTTTTCTGACTGATTTTTCTTAACAGAATACTAACTAATGGACCCATAGATGGATTATAGTCAGAACTGGTTTACAAGGTACAGGCTGAGGGGCAAACAGTGTGATGGGCCCCCTGGCATTCACCCACAGAGCACACCCAACGGAAGAGACATGTTTATAACAATATATAAGAAAATATAAGACACAAAAAAACGTACAAGACAAACAGAAAGACTACAAAGATATCTTAATCTGTGTTCCTGTTGCCCTTTGCCCTTTTGCTTAGTCAGGGTGCGAGTGCATTTATATTAAGTGCTTAGATGTCAACTGCGATGTCAAATCCATCTAAAGAAATGCATGATAAGCAATATATTATGCCTGTGTTTCATTCATCCACATCTGTAAAGTAACTAAAGGTATTAAATACATGTAGTGGAGTAGAAGTACACCATTGTAAAACATTACATTATTTCTAAAGTACTCTTTACAACTTGTAAACAATTGACTGATTTTTGTATGTCAAAGATGAATTCATCAGAGTGAGACCTCTTCATTTTTCTTCCTCTCTGGTGCAGCACTGACCCTGGAGCTGTCACACACAATGTAGAAGCCCCGCCCCTTTCTCACAGCGGAGCGCCCTGATTGGTCGAGACTGGCAGTGGGCGCACGCGGAGCCACTCGTGACCGCTGGTAGTGGGCTTGGCCTAAAGACACAGGAGCTCGCTGATTGGCTGCTTTCTTAATCTCCGCGGATCACAACAAATATGGAGTGCAGATAGTTCCAGGTGACATTTTACTACTTACTTTTTCAGACTTTCAACAAACGACATAAAATGAATTAAAACCACAAATTAATAACTGATACTTGTTATAACGAGTTTTAACTCATACATGTTATTCGTCTGAGCTCTGTTGTTGTCCAAAAACTATTAATAACACATTAATGAGTCACACCACCCAAATTACTCACTGGGGCACAACATGTGGATTAGTCCATCGCTTAAAATAGTCCTCAACAAATGGACTAGGACAGATGTTCCCAACACTTTCAGACCATATTTCCAAAATGTGCTGGATCAAATCTCCAAATGACCACTTCCCTCTGCAGATACCAATAATGTAACGACCACATTTCCTATTTTGTGATTCCCTTTATCTGGTGCAGTCTAAAACAACAGTCCTGAAATAACTAATATATAATGTTGGGGTTTTATTTAAACTGTTTTAGAGAGTTAATTTTTTTCTATTGACGTGTTTTTTTTCTATTGACGTGTTTTTATTATTTTCTCTGCACTATTTGTATCAATGATGTTAATTAAATACACATGCATTTCCAAAAATGTGGACTACCTATATTGCAAATGTATTATCTTTTCAATTTACACACGGCATCTATTGCACGTCTGTCCGTCCTGGGAGAGGGATCCCTCCTCTGTTGCTCTCCCTGAGGTTTCTCCCATGTTCCCTTAAACTGTGGGGTTTCTCCCGAAGTTTTTCCTTGTACGATGTGAGGGTCTAAGGACAGAGGATGTCGTATTGTCATACTGATATTCTGTACAAACTGTGAAGTTCACTGAGACAAATGTAACATTTGTGATATTGGGCTATATAAATAAACATTGATTGATTGATTGAAATACATACAAACCCTGTCTTTATAATGCAATGCAGTTAAACCACAGCACAAACTACATGTATTCATCATCATGTTTGGTTGTATGAGCTGGGGAACAAATGAACTGTATTTTTGAATAAAATGTAGTTATAAAGACAATGAATATAAATAGAAAACAATGTAAAATTCATAAAATCTGAAGAAACAGATACAAATAATGTTTATCTATTTTAATATGACAGATCTGTACGGTGTTGTGCAGGCATTAATTCATGAATTGATGTAATTATTTATTTTAATTAGTATTTATTATTATTATTATGATGTATTTCATTTGTTTATGAATTATATTTCTAAATAATTTCTAACAGTAATGTGATGTTTTTGTTCATGTAGTACCTGCAGTTGGCCGTTAGGGGGCGATGTTCGGAAAAACTCACCATCGTGTTTTTCAGTGTCTTTTCCGGTTTTAACGGAACGGTCCTTTCCCCTAGCGTCAGCGGACCCCAACGTGTCCGACAAAATGTCGCTTTATAATTTCAAGAAGATTATGGTGGTTCCCACCGCAAAGGTACGTTTTATTCCTCATATTTAGCCTGTTAAAAGAAAGCTGTTTCTCCGGCTGTGTTTCTGGGTTTTGAGAGGCTGAGGAAGATGTAAAAAACATGGAGGTTCTCTTCGGAGTATAAACACGTGTCGAGCTGCTGGAAAGAGACAGTTTCCATAAAACGTTAATCATGTGTTTTTTTAATTGGTGTATAAAAGAGGAAAGCGTTTTGAGAGATAACACAGTGAATCTGCCCAGAATTAAGAACGTAAAAGGCTGTTTCTGTCCAGTTAATGACATGCGATTCAACAAACTCCATTTAATAATGGAGTTAATTCTGGATATTATACAGTTTTTTCCTATACAAAGGGAAACGTTATCATATAAACTTCAACTTTGTTGTCATTGCACAGAGTACAAGGACAACGCAATGTGGTTAGCATCCAAACAGAAGTGTGTTTTTATGTATACATGTGACAGTATTTACATTAAGAACAGAATAATCATTACAAACAGCAGTGTAGAAAATGAATACACTATTACAATTGTATAAAAAAAACAGTATAATACAGACACAATACAGAGTAAAAGGAATATATTATGAACGGTTTGTTATTTTTAAATACTAAGAATACATATGATTATGCCATACAGATTTATAGATACAGAGAAGTGCAAAAAGCAGCATACATCTATCCATTTAAATACCCTGTCCATATTGGGAGTTGTGGTCCTATAAGTTAGACTGACAACAAAAGAAATGCCATTTGATGTATTATTTGTATGCCGAATTGACAAGTAGACTTGGTTTATTCATATCAGTGATTTAAAATATTGTTTTAATGTTTCTGATTTGGCTGACAATCGATTTTACATTAAATTGAATGATTTGTTAATGAAGTTCGGCATTGCTCTCTTTGAAAACAGTTAATATGATTTTCTTTGTGGAAATGCAAGAAAATTGCATGTTTTGAATGAATGAATATATGTGAAGTAGTTGTTGTTGTTCATGCTTCAGTATGTGGTATGTAAATAATTGATTACTTGATTTAGAGATCACAGGGTATGGTTTATGATTCCATAAGGGAGTCAATGCAAGTTCATTTTAATTTACCCAAGGGATAAGGTGGTTATTGGTCTCTTGGAAAACAGTTAACATGATGAATCTCTTTGAGGAAATACAAGGTGTTTTTGTGAATACATGTTAAGCAGCTGTTCTGTATCTATATGTGATATGTAAATAATTGATTACTTGATTTAGAGATCATAGGGTAGGATTTATGATTCCATTAGCGGGTCAATAAAGGTTCATCTTAATTGAAGGCAAAAGGAGTTAGACAGTGAAGACCTTACACTTAAAAAAAAGTTACACAACCTTCTAATGATACTCATCTGGGTATAACATGAATGAATGGCTTGTTCATCTGGCTTCAGATAAAGCCAATATTAAAAAGTTATGTCCAATATGATCTAACCTTGCATACTGTGTTTCTCTGCAGGATTTCATCGACATCACTTTATCCAAAACTCAAAGGAAGACCCCCACTGTGGTGCACAAGCACTACCAGATCCACCGCATCCGTCACTTTTACATGCGAAAGGTGAAGTTCACGCAGCAGAGCTACCATGACCGCCTCTCGCAGATCCTCACCGACTTCCCCAAGCTCGACGTAAGTCAAGAAGCTCTCGTATTCATTCTAAATAACCATCGTTTCCTATTTGCCTGGACACGTATAAAAGGTAGTTTGTGAAATGTGATCATTTGCCATTTTCTCTTCAGGACATCCACCCGTTCTACGCCGACCTGATGAACGTGCTGTACGACAAAGACCATTATAAGTTGGCTTTGGGACAGATAAACATCGCCAAGAACTTGATTGATAAGTAAGTTTGTCTTAAATGGTATCCTTTTTTGTTTTGCATGTTGTTGCGTATAGTTAATGTCCTTGTTTACATTGTCCGCTGCCAAAAACAGTACATTTCCAGCCCGGCTGCTTCAAACAAGACCCGAAGCAACTGAGGTTTCACAATTTGGTCTGATTTAGGGACCAGGCAGGATTGTATAAGTGCCCTACCACGATACCGATCCAGATGCTTCCCCTAGTTATCCTTAATGGAGATCTGGCAGAATATAGTTTGTTTAGTTTGGACATTTTTGTTTACTTTTATGTATGCACGACGACACCAAGTCAAATCCCTCGTACGTGTCAACCTACCTGGTGATAAACCAGTTTCTGATTCTAACTGTTTGTGGTGAACCCCCCCAGTGTTGCCAAAGACTACGTGCGTCTGATGAAGTACGGAGACT